GCCACGAAATGGAAATTAGAAATGACGGCGCCTATATATGACCAATTTCACTAAAGTTTTTTCACTTGATATCTTGGAATTTCTTTAAATTTTGCTGGTTATTAGAGTTTGAGCTCGGATTTAAAAATGTTTTAAAGATGCAATAAAACATCGCTTGTCGCATATGAGACCTGCGAGCTAAACGATTAGCAATTTTTTATATTCTTTTTTTTAATGGATGTGCTTGGTTTTCCAGGAGAAATTAGTCAATCATATTTTTTATTTAAATTTGACTGTGCTGCGTGATATCATTCGTGGCACTTTTCTGGCACGAGGTTTCATTCGTTAAGTAAAATATATCTTGGAAATAACGCAGGTGACGTACTTTCTCAAAAGCTATCGCATGCTTTTGCTTATCTGTGCTGTTTAAATCCCAAATTTTTATTAAAGAATGCTGTAATGTAAAAGTTTTCATTCAAGATGAGCAGTTTTATTTTTCAGTTTTGAAGAATTCATCTTTGGGCTTCGACATCTTTCTACAAGGATTAGGAATCATGGATTTGCTCGTTTCTTCGTTCTCTTCAGTTTCTGCGGAAAGAGGACTGAAAGAGATAGAATCGACTCGGTTCTTGAATAGACATTCGGTTAGCTAGAATTCGGCTAGAGTTTTTCAATATGTAGTGCCAGAAGGATTTTTTCAGTATTTTGAGGGATACTAAGAAAGGAGAAATTGAAGGCGGAATAGAGGTGGATTCAGAGTTTTAGTTATATACGAGTAAATGAAAGTATCTTGAAAGGGTATTGAACTGGTTCGGTTATATTACATATTACAAGAAAATCCTTCTGCTTTCTTCTCATTCTTTGTAATAAAAGAGATGTTGCTTACATACTAAACGTCTAATCATTTTTCATGTTATAATGAAATTAGCCATCAAATTTCATGTCTACTTTCGACAAATCAGTTAATTTTGATTTTACGTTGAAGGGGTAAAACTGCGGAGGAATTGACCTTGACTGTGGTTAGTACTTTTATTTACGTACGGTTAAAATTGTAACATCAATATACTGAAGTTCTTCTCGTTAATGGAATGGGTACACTGCTTACTGGAAGAGAGCAGTCTATATTTATTTATATAGAGATAAAGCATTTTAGACCGCTTGAACCACTTTGATATTACAATATTTAACAAATCTTATTTTGTAAACTGTTTAATAGTTTTTTGATGAACAATAGACTTTGCTAATCTGTGGAGAGTGAGATCTTAAGAAGTTCGGCTTCCATAGCTACAAGAGTCTTTTCTAAAGATTCGCCCTCGTCAACATTCCCGAAATCTCGAAACGTTCTTAGCAACTCGGTAGAAGCTTTATGAAAGTCGATGTCGCCTTTTGGATGATAAACCTTAATAGCTAGAACTTGTTAAATACCTCAAAAATATTATTTTTTTAAGCACTAAATCACCAACTTTAAGCTATTCTGTTAATTTAAATCAGTGGCCTGAAATAACTGGTCATTTTCACCTTTTGAACGCTTTCACTTATATCTTCACTTTCGCTTTTAAAGCCGCTGTCATAGGAGACTGTAGACCTGCTCGTCGATCTTACAGATACATTAGAATGCCGAGAAGCCGTCTCGTTGAAATCGTCCGTGTCACCATCTTCAGTAGTTTTAATGCCCTAAAAGTTGTGAGAGGTTAGTAGTATGTTGTTGCCATCAGGAAGAGTAGTGAAAATAAAAACAGACAGTTGCTGCTGGGACTATCTTTCTTCTTAAGGGGACAAGTGTAGTGCTTTTTTTGACGTTTCAGTCTCGGCAGTGGTCATTTTTTTGTGGTCTATTAATTGAAAGTCTGAATAGAAAACTTGCTGCGTAAATCGGGTTGTTGTACCACTTAACACGTTTTTCTCTTCGATCGTTTGTAATTGGATGCTTTTTTAAATTTTTTGAAACACATGAGGAAACAGGTGAATTGGGAGAAGTACGACTGCAAAGAAAAAAAGTGGTCAATTCATCATTATTTTTGCTCATTAATAATTGATCAATAGCAGTTTCCTTTACAAAAAGTTGTCAACGGTTTTTCTACGTTGATGTTTAGTCTAAACTGACAATTTTATGGATACCGCTTAACAGGTTATCAAGGTGCTTATTAGCCTCAATATGGTCTAAAAAGCACGTTTACAGGGTCTTCAGATCAATGTTATGTTAAGTATGAAAAAAAACTTCTGTAACATTTACTGGTCCTATTTTTTCAAAGTTTCTGTGGTGGTATAAAAACTAACTGAAAAGAATTTTGAGCATAAGTTTTTGCATTTAGTTTAATAGAATTTTTAGCAAGAATAACTTTAATATAAATCTCTCAATGCCCCATTGAACTTTTAAGAGGGAATCTGAAGTAAAAAGATAATTTCAGCCAAAAATTTTTAATATATGTAAAATACCTTTTACTGAGAAAAAATTTTAACTGTTTTCTTTTTGTTGTCAAGTTTTTATCATTGAAAAGTAGAAGATACACGCGTATAATACATTAGTACAGGGATTCTTTAAAACTTTGTGCAAAAAATATTTCAACTGAACAAAAAATGATAACTGTTTATAGTAGAAAAAAGTGAAGAGATAAGTGTTGGAATGAACAGATAATATTTTTGATATTTTAAAAATTCTCAAAGATAGCTGTCTCAGTTTTTTTCAATATTTAAAAGGAAAGAACAAACCAACTAAAATCCTTCTTCAGCAAATATTCCACCAGTTTTTTATTGTTTACTTTTGTCTGGGCTTTCTCTTTTCTTTGGAGCTTAGAAAGCATTTGCTTATTTTTTGCAGGGATTTAACTCTGTTATACGACGGCGTCGATCGTCGTTAGCAAATATAAAGAGGTAAGGCGAAAACGCCTAACTGTTTGATATCTTATGAAAAAAGTTCCGTTTTTTCTTTCCCTTTTAAGAATTTTAATTTTTTTGGAATTCACAGTTTTGTTCTTCTTTTTTTTTTTTTTGAATGTTCGTTTACGAAGAGTAAGTTATTGCGCTGATGAAGAGACTGTAGGCGGATTAAATCGTCAACCGTTGGACAGTCACATCTGTAAGAAGTAAGAAAAGTGGGATACATATGGCTGCTGAGCATTTGAGAATAACTGGTGAAAAGAAAAGGTGCACAGAGAAACTGCTGTTTCTTATAAACGCACAAAGAGATGCATATATACACACAAAAAAAGGAGGATTTTTTCATCTTCAAAACTGCAGACAAAAATTTTTCTCTTTTTTTTTGCTGAAAGTTATTGCAAACCATTGAGAAAAATATTGTTTTTTCAGCACTGTAGTGATAAAGAAAACGTCTATATGGCAATTTACTGAAATCATACAATACATTCAACGAAATAAAGAATAAAAGGAAATTTCCTAAAGAATTAGTTCATTTTTTGCAGCCACTACATGGTTGGTACAAAAAGAACTGTTTTTGCTAAGTGTTAAAAACTGCTTTAAGGTTTTGAAGCTTTGCACATGGCTGCTGAGCATTTGAAAATAACTGAATAAAATAATAAAAAATAATATAGATCATCAATATAAAACGTAAAGATGTTGCATTGAAAAAAAAAGAATATAACACTGTGCAATTCTCCTCCAGTTGTTTTTCTGAATTGTTTCTCAACTATTCAAATGAACACCTAAGACGAGGCAGACAAATGGAAAGCAAACGCAATTATTTGGCCTCAAAAATTTGCTGATTATTTAGCGATTTCCAACTATTCTACAACATTGATGCTTCACAAAACAACATTTCTAGTCATCCATAGCAGAATTCATCTAACACGAAACAAGAATTATAAGAGCAAAGAAAAGGAAAATATAGCGATAAATAGAACTTTGGTGTTAAAGGGAAAACGTATTTATAAAAGGTTTAGAAATATAAGGGGTGTTGGCGATAAAATTACAAAATACTCTCTTGGAGAGAAGTGCTCTAAACGAACTTTGGAAAAATGTTCAAGGAAGAAAGAAAGAAAAGGGAAATGAAAGTTTTCCTAAATTCAGCGTAACGCTCTACTAGACCACGTTGTAATGTAAAGTGGACCAAAGGTTTAGTGTGTTGTTCGACGAGAATTGGCACCGTTGGCACTTCGCCTTTACAAAATGTTTGGCCCGATAACCACCTCTTCCCTTTGTTCGACGGAAAATGCTGCTGTTGGTTTGTTGTATCTGAACTATGCACAACGATCAATTGCTTCCACTAATTCGCATCAATCAAGGTAGCCGGCTAACAAATGACATCACTAACTATCTAACTGATTGGTTGGGCAACCGTTCAAGTTGACCAAGAATAACCGTTCTTTTATTTTTCAGTATTCTTTTTCGCCTGTGTGGTCAGTGCGGCAGTTTATGTCATTCTTCTGGTAGCAAGTTTAATTTATCACTTAAAACTTTTGAGAAAAAAATTTTACTTGTATTTGAAAGCAGTTTTTTCCTTTTCTCCTCTTTAGATTGTTATAAAAAGTCAGAGCTGCGTAATTAGTTCTGAGACGTCCCAGTGAGTTGCTGATTCTTTTTTGTTGTTGGTTGGGTGCAGAAATAACTGTGAGTAAAAGTGGCATGTATCATTGTAGCTAATAAACTTGTGTAATTGACGAGTATCCTAAAACAGTGTTAACCTCTGTTCAATATTTGATTAGCATTAAGTACTGTCCGTAGATGTGGCGAGTGTTGTTGATGCATAGTTTTACGCTGCAGGACGCCCACTGTTGTCTACCGTTGCCGTCTTGACTAAGCTTTAACGCTTTTTCTGAGCTGTGACGCCCTCTCAGTCTTCTTTCGCGATCTGCTGACGGCGGATTTATATTACGGGTGCTTAACAGTTTTTCTTCCTTTCATTGTTTGACATATCAATTCACTGAACTGCATGGTGGTAGTGTAAACTTTTCGTTATTTCAGGGAGAAAACAGCAGTGAACAAAAAGAACTTTTATTAGCAGTTTATTAGACAATGTTATCAGCTCTAATTATTGAGTATAAGTATGGACAGATAACTTAGTACGCAGTTTAGTTGGCTGGCAAAAATTGACGACTGAAACTCAATAATATATCTAAGTTTTTGAAGTATTCAATAAAATAACATAAATTGTTTTCAAAAAAAAACATTTTATTTGTTTCCTTTCTTCTTAGTACTTAAATTTAGAAGAAAATGGATGAAAAAAAAAACAAAATTGAGGCATAGAAATGCCTTACTGCAATTAACATTATTTGTTAAGAAATAAATAAACAAGTTGAAGAAGCTTTTTTTTTTAGCTTGTACTTGCGTTCTGTTTTCGACTTCTTTCTTTTTTAGGTTAAAATTACTACGCAATGGAATAATTTTTTAGATCTCTTGATGTTTTGTCTATATTTAATAGAGTGTAGTTCTTTTCTTTTTCACTAGAAGCTTCTATCACCGCTTTTTTCTTCATTTGGGAAAGTAATGGAATCTAAACTTTTTTCACTGCATTACATAATAGTTGAGTCTTATTAGTCCCCAGTTAGACTCACGGATTGGCATAGCACAAATTACCGGCGCCACACACGTAACCTGTTGGGCATTGGCCATTGACACATGGACCTAAAAGAATACATGGGATTTTGATCGGATAATTTTTTGTTGAGTGCGATTTCACACAAATAAAATTGATTTTCTGGCATCTTACAATCCTTAATCACTTTGTGGATCTGATATCAACAAGATGTCAAAATCATAACGCTTTTAAAGAAAAAGTTTTGGATGACTAAAAGAAATTGATTTTTTGAGGCAAAATATAACATGCTTCAAATACTGTTTTGACAGTCTTACCGAGGACGGAACCTGATCCAAGTGGGCAACAGAAGTTGTTCGTATTACAGGCATAACCTGCTGGACATTGTTGGTTAACGCATGGTCCTAAGTATATTATAGTTAAAATAACATCTTAACTCAATGACGTTGTGTCGGGCAAACTTTTGAGCAGAAAATGAAAAAAAATTTTATACAGAAAAAAATTTTTGAAATGGAAACAGCAATTTTTTTTTACCAGCTTCTGCACCACTTTGACAACGGCAGCAGAAGTTTCGGGCGGTACAGAACCATCCTTGACCACATAAACCATTGATACACATTGCTACTGCTGCAGCACCATCACAAGCAGCTAAAATTTACTCGAACATTGTAGTAAATAACAGATTTCTCGACTTTAAAATAAACTTTCAGTTGATTAAAATGAGAAATTTTTTTTCAAATATTTGCATAACAGATATTACGGTAAGACGATAAATAAGAGGATAGCGACAACCAGCGACCGATTCGTACAAATTAAGCACTTCATTGACGCAGTTATTAAAATAGTAACAGGTAAACAGTTTTACACTAAGGAGAAACAAACTTGATAAATCAACTTGGATTGGACAGCAGCAAGCCTGGATACAAACCATTGATGGCGAATATTGCATGCACTGTTGGTTGTTCATACAGCTACCAAAACATTGTGGGGGACACATTATTGCTCGTCGCTCACGTTCCAAAGCTGAAATGGTCTGTTGACACTTGTTCCTGAATACATTCTTCACAGCTGGAGTTATAAGTAAACTGTGTTGGTAATGCGACGACAATATTTTAAAATATTTTTTAATTACTAAACCTGAAACATTTTGCATTGGTTCATCGTAATGTGATGTTGCTACATCTTCCTCTTCTAGCGATTTTCCTTCTGCAAACCTGTCGAAAACAAATACGAGGGATGCGGTAACAAGAAATAGAGTCGTAAGTTTGTACATTCTGTTCAGCTAACTTCAGCTGAAGCTTATTGCTGTAAAACAAAAAATTTTCAAAAGTTATTGCATAAAATTTTATAAAGAGCATTATTTTCACTGAAGACGGAAGAAACTGTAGCTTTAAAAAAGATATCTCTCTATCTATACTGTTGAGAAAAAGAACAATAAAAGAAATGTCACAAACAACCAATTTTATTGTTCGACCTTACTGAACTCAAGAGACTTTACCACATAAAATGGCGGTTTTTAAACGGCTTAACATATAAACAAAATTACATGACAGATAAGCTATCCCATTTCAACATCACATGTTAGTACCACGCTTAATAAGCATTAAAATTACAAAAATTGATTTTCTATAGTGCATTTATTGAGACGACCGACAAGTTATAGTTAAGAACTTATACCAAAATTACTACCAGTGGTTTAATGGTAAGCAAAAGGAATTTATAACAACAACAGCAAACAAAGTACACAGAAATTTCAGAATGACTGTACTTCAAAAACTGCTAAAAAACAGAAGCATTTTTGAATACCAAAACTACCAATGTCTTAGCACATTTCGATGTTAAAATCTTTCAACATAGTTTTGCTTACTGTACCTGAAAACAATTAAATTCTGAAACAATGATGAGTTAGAGTATTGCCTGTGAATGAAGAGCAACGATGGTGTGTAGTAAAACAGTTAATTGTTTAGTGACCATATAGGTGGTCAGATAAAGTGACCGTTTAGTGACTAGTGAATTTAGACGTTTAAATGTAGCTGTCTTCTTGTTTTGGCGAATCTCAACAGGTAAAAAGATAGCCTCACATTGTTGTAGTGGACAAATAAAAAGCAACGAAAAGACAAAAACTGAAGTGGATGTGTACTTAAATGTTAGACTGTGTCTCTTGTGTCGTGAGCGCTTCAAATTTTTAGTATTCAAGACACGTTAAGTTCTCTACACATTCATTATAGATTTATTTGTTTTCAATTTTTTTGTAGTCAATTTCATTGTTGATATTATCATTTTTTCTATTTTGTCTTACTTTTTTTATTTAATATCTCATTTCTGATATTTTACTTGTACACTAATAAACAAGAAACAGTGAATTAGAAAAAGACAAGTGGAAAGAAATCAGGTAAGTATCAAAAAAAAAAGCAATATTTAAGTGATCAAACTGGTGGTAATTTATACGGTTTAAGAGCAACAGCTAAAAAGTGTAATAAAAATCAAATCAAAACAAAAAAATAAAAGAAAGAACAAGCAAACAAAGAACAAGGTTAAAAACTTGAGAAAAAAACGATAAGAATACAAGAAGATGTAATTTTACTTTAAGATCACTTTGTTTTTTTTGCTTAAAATGTCATATTTTTTAAAAAAGAAGAAACTGAAACAATAAGTTTAACAAACTATGCAAGGTACAATTAAAGTATTTGTCGAACGTTCTTAAGCTGTTGGCGTCAGAAACTGCATAACCCAAACAAGTTCGGCTTTGATAATTTGGCGATTTATACAGGCATCTAGATTTAGTTTATAGTTA